GCATAACTGGGCTAAAAAATTGATTTTTTAGTTTAAAAATAACATTTGGTTCTGATACATTCATTTATCCATGATACATACCTATATCGATATTTGCTGTAAAAAAAATTTGCAATCATCTTCCGAACCGGGCCCCTATGGCTGACGGGCCCCTAGGCTTCAGCCTACTCAGCCTAATGGATAATCCGCCACTGTATATATATATATATATATATATATTATATATATATATATATATATATATATATATATATATATATATATATATATATATATATATATATATATATATATATATATATATATATTAAAATTATAATAAAGTTAAATTTATAACATAACTCAGAGTTTCACGCTCTATGTGATCTCCAGACGTTACAAACCATAACAACAACAAAAATTATATACAAAAATACAAAACAGTGTTTGCTTAGATGACGTAAAAGTTGCAAATAACAAATTTGTTTTCGTGACGACATTTCGATATTAATTCATTTCGCTAATTTAATAGTTTCAAAGATGATGTAATGATATGGTATTTTTCCGTTAAACAAAGGTTACATAACTTTCTTCCGGGTTTAAAAGGTTCTGCCCTATCGATAATTTTTCACGTAAGAATAGGATTTGAAAATCCCTTTTTTTTCATTTCCCACATATATTTAGAAAGTTCTGTGTCGTGTCAGCGTAAATTATATTTTTACTAAGACACGTACCTTGCAAAGGACATTGTGAAGGTTGCTGGCAGTTACACGATGGAACAATTGTGTTGGAAACATTAGATAATACTTTTTTATTGTGTGAGTTAATAATATTGGTAAAGTTTGGAAGACAGCTTTAACTGACTTTTAAACTATTCCTATTGAAAATTTTGCGAAACTTATGTGTTTTTGGAAAATGCTGTTCAATTAGATTTAGAAAAATATTTGCGACGTTATTTTTTACATTTTGCGATAACGGAGGATTAAACCAAATAATGTTTCGTGATCTTGATTTTGGTTTTGGTGGGGGTAGATTTTTTTGGAATGTAATTTTTTCATTCAACCCACTTGCTGCTAATATAATTTATGTTTGCAATGTAAAAACATATAAACATTATTTTTTAAATTTTTTTTACTTTTATATATTATTCAGTTGTAAAAGTAGTATTATTATTCGCAATACTAAAACTAATCGAAATTATTTGTCATTGAAATGAAAGAAATGCTGCTCGACGAGCAGAAAACTTTCTTGCCAGAATTTGGCATCAAACGATGTTAAAATCTGTTAATTTGATTTTGCTTTAGACATTTTGGAAAAAAACTATATACGACTTCTACTTTTTATAATAACAATCAAAAACAGTCAAAAATTACAATGACTAAATAAATTATTTTGCTAATTGTTGAAACATGGTTTTAATTTAGAAAGTTTATGATGTAAAGTTTACTCTATTAATCATTAGTGAACAGTAAAGGAGAAGCTGGAGCTTTTTATAATAAGGTAAAAATAATTTTGTTTACGAATAACATAATAAAACCAGTTTTAATAGTTATAGTTGATTCGCTTATAGCTATTTTGCGTTAAAAAGTTGTTTTTTTTTTATCACTAACAGGAACCTCGTTTATGCTTGTAGACATTTATTGTGTGTTTTTTTTTAATTTTTTTAACATGCTGCCTTGACACAATGCCTTTCACTCCCTCTTTCTCTTTTAAAAGAGAGTTAAATAAAAATTGATAAAAAGAGCATTAATGAAACTTTTGTAATTATTGTGAACTTATGTTTTTCTTAATACCACTATAGTAAACGACCGTGTATAGAAAATACTTTTCGAGTTCCTTTCTGATATTTTTTGATATAAATATTAACCAACTGTTTAACAATAGCTGTAACTTAATTGTTAATGACATTACTGATAGAAAGCCGAACTTAAAGTCTTATTTATTGATAAATTTGTATTTAATTTTGATTTTTTCGATAATATATAAATTTATTTTGTAATTAATGAATTAATTACTAATAACACGTATTACAGTTTGCTTACTGCTAACTTACATTAACAATCTCCTTGAAATTCTCAAATCTAAGGTAGTATTGTTTGCTTTTAATAATAATAATAATAATAAGGTATTATTTTTGTCTTGATAAGAAACCAACTCCATCTGTTTGTTTGAAGGGTTTATTTGGATTAAAGAGGATCTCCTACAGTAGGAGGCTCTTAGTGGGTGATGAACTTTAACATAGATAAAACTCAATTTTTCTCAGCTAATTGTTATCGCAATAATCCACACCTGCCAATATTTAAGAACGGTAATATGTTTGATGAGTCATCTACCCTTCGTATTTTAGGATAAAATAATTAATTCCAATTTTTCTTTGAAACCATATATCAAACCCATTTCAAAATTAGCATCTGCTAAGGTTGCATCTTTTTTTTATAATAGGTTCTATTATTTATTTCTATAAATCTCAAATCCGTCGTTATATGGAATATTGTTGCCAAATCAAAAGCGGATCGTTGAATGATGACCTTGCTCTTTCAGAGAAGGTCTAGTCATAAATATTGTAACCATATTCTGACCTGCCCTTGCAACTAACCTCCAACCATTGTCACCTCATTGTTATGTTGCTTCTCTTTTTCTTTTCCATAAATAATACGAAGGGCGTACAAGAAACGCTAGCTCTAAAGAGTTAGCGTCTCTTATGCTATTAAAATTCATTTTCTTGTTACTCGCCATATGCTTAAGTATTGTCTTTTTTCTGTGACTGCTCCTTGGTGTTTCAAAAACTCTTATTTGTCTTGTCTTTTTCCCTTAAACACGAGTCCTTAGAATTTGCTTCCTTCATCTTGTTTTCCTTACTCATATAAAATGCAATTTTTTAAGTCCTCTGTTAACCGTTATCTTGTTTTTTAAACTTCATCTTTTCTCTTACACTAACTTTCAACTCTAATAGTTAATGCTTGCAACTTTGTTGGAAGTATAGGCGTTTAAAAAAAAAGTTTTAAATGCTTAAAAGATATTCAGAACGCAGTTTTAAAAAGACTGCTTTATTTTTCGTCACACAAGCAATGTCTTTTTTTAATTATACTTTTAAACAATATTAAGAAAAAAATTCTATTAGTTACATATATTTTGTACCAAAATAACGGTAATAAACAAACCAGTGTTTTGGTTTCTGAAAAACGTTGGTGAATATACCAGTATTGATACTACTGGATGCACAATGTAAAGAACTGCCCAGCTAACACACATATTGTGGTAAAAAGCTAGAACAATGTTGCTAGTTACGTTAGCAAAACATCGGTTGCTAACGTTGTTTAAAAGCATTTTGGTTATAACTGTGACCAACAAAAAAAGTCTAACGTTGTTAAAACGCTGTATTTGAAGTTAGTAAAGTGTAATATTTGACGTCGATTTAAAGCTAAATTTTTTAATTGGCACAACATTGTTTTTTACTTTGGCTCAACGTTACATTTAATGTTAATTGAAATTAGATTATATAATTTTGTTTGATAATTTTTTATATACATTATACATACACTAATCAGGTATGAATCAAGTTTACACTCATTAACGAAGTATGTTTTGCTTGTGGTTTAATATTTGATTGTTTCTGAAACATTTTATTTAAGATGTATAACTTTTCACACCATTTTTCATATACGTTGGGTCAACGTTCATTCATACATATTCAATCAGTTTTGGGTTATACACATTGGTTTAACCTCCAAACACATTGAACCAATGTTAGTTTTTTACCTTAAATCAACTCTAGATTAAAATCGTAAAAACAACTAAGTTTTGTAATGGTTTTACATGGGTCGATCAACTATAATTGTGGTAGCTTTGTATCTACATTATTGCTCTAGCCTTTTATCTATATTATAGTTAAAAACATCACATTAGATCAAGTTAAGGTTTGCATCAGAAAAAACAGCCAACATTTGGTTATTAAAATACGTTGGCATAATGTATGTGCGCTACATGGGCGAGGAACAGATTTAAAAAAATTTCTTATCAGAAACATTTAAGAATTTTTAATATAAGTTTCATTACAAAAGGTATATCTTTGAAGTATTTATTCATAATTCCGATAAATAGAACTTTAAATTTAAAACTAAGAGTTTTCGGAATGAAGATGATGCCACTTAAAATAACAACTTTTTATTAAACAACTATACTATTAAAAAAAGAAAGGAAAAATTTAATAATTGTTTTTTGTTTAAAATATTAACTTAAACAGATTAATAGTTTTATATTTAGATATATTTTGTGGCGTTGTTGCAAGCAATTGTTATTGAAGTAGAATTTGGTTGAAACTATTTTTTTATCTAATTTTAAAAACAAAGAAAAGTAAAAACAAAGTAAGAGCATATAATGTAAAATAGTACTAAATAAATGCACAGATCATCAAATAAAAGATTCAAACTTAGTTTGAATCTTTTTCTAATTTTAGGAAACCTTAATATTAATTGATCTCCATTTAAAACCAATGAAGAACCTTTAGAGTAAGTGTTAAACCATGACCCTATTGGAAGATAACCAAAGAACTGTGATAAACAAAAAGTTACAACTCAAAGTACATGAGTAGTTATAAAGCACTCAAAAATCATAACTCATCAGCCTAGATAAGTAACATGTATATAAAACTCTTATTTTAAATTTACTCGTTGTTTGCTTTAAACTTTATAGCATGTAAATCAAACTATAATTTTACAGCTTCCACAATAAAAAAATGTCACCATCAAAATCCAAAACTCAATTTAAAATACATTTAAAGTCATTAAACTTATTGAAATTTAAATGAAAAAATAATTGAAAAACATAAAAAACTAGCATAAACTGCAAATAAAGTAAAATAAAAAGCATATAAAAACTTGTGTAATAACACTTAACCATTATATACACTTACATCAAACGAAAAATATTTTAAGACAAAGCTTCAAACCATATTGTGAGATTTTTTAAAACCTTACCGACTTCCTTAATTTTTTTTTTTAATTTTTTAATAATGCATTTACCTCAACTTGAATAATTTTTTCATCTATCTTCACAAACGACTCATTCAAATTTAAATCGTCCCACAAGAAGCCTTTAAATACCAAAAGTGTATCTGCTCTTAAATAAAATGTTACATTCTGGAGATAGCATACGCAGTTTGTTGTCAAGTTTATTTGAATGTAAACTTCTTCACTAATAAAAATGATTCAGAAATATAGCTTATAACATGAAAATTTATAAAATTTACAACAAAGGATCAATCAATAAAATGATTAGTGAAAGTATATGCAATACCTTAATATTGTATTTTGTAATAGTATATACATATAAAGCTGCATACTTGTGTAGATACATGCATACCTTCCTACATACATACATACATACATACATACATACATACATACATACATACATACATACATACATACATACATACATACATACATACATACATACATACATACATACATACATACATACATACATACATACATACATACATACATACATACATACATACATACATACATACATACATACATACATATATTCAAACATACATACATACCTTGTTTGTATTTATGTATTTATTTACGTGTGTATGTATGTATATATGTATGTATGTATGTATGTATGTATGTATGTATGTATGTATGTATGTATGTATGTATGTATGTATGTATGTATGTATGTATGTATGTATGTATGTATGTATGTATGTATGTATGTATGTATGTATGTATGTATGTATAAATGTATGTATGTATGTATGTATGTGTGTATGTATTTATGTATGTATATATGTATGTATGTATGTATGTATGTATGCATGTATGTATGTATGTTGAAACTCAACGATTAAATGTATTTAAAGCTGATAAGTTGCAAATAAACACCAATAACTCAACAAAAACTTGCTAAATACATTTTTTGCAACATAGAAATACATTCAGAATGAACATGGAGGTGTTGGAGGTTATTTTGAATTCAAAATGTTAGGTAAATAACCACCACATTCTGATATTATCGACATTTTGTTAATTTAGAACCCTAGAAATGGAATCTACTGTCGAAGAAAGTATCAAACCAGTCACAACACCTGTGACAAGTGTCATTCTATCTATTTAAATCTAGAAATTTTTTTAAAATTTAACTATAGTTAGTTATTTTATATATAGATAATCACAAATCGGGTCAATCCTTGACCATTTAAACAAAACAAAACAATTTTTTTTTTCTTAAGAAACATCGAGACTCTTAATTTTAACTCTTTAGAATATCAGAACATTTTCAAAAATTATTATGTATCACATTGACAACTGCATAGAGTAGTACACGGCAAGCTCAATTTGAAGCACTTACATCATTCTCGACATTCATTTTTACATCCACATTTTGTAAGCTGTTTGCATGACTCTGCAATTGGAGGAAGATTGAACCATACAACTGTCCATAAATCATCTTTTAGCTTCTAGCCTCAATCAGATGTACTTAGTTCTTCCATTGAACATGTCAATGCCTGACTACATATGCATCCTGCTTGGTATGCTGCTCGTTTGGTATGTTGAATCAGTGACGGTTTTGTTGGAGGGATAGCATCAAATGAACATTTTTACCCTAACCAAACTAAAGCCAAAGCTTTTCTAAATCCATTTCTTTGAGACTATGGATAACACTAATAGCAATCATAAAAATATTAGTATTGTTCGTTTTATTTGCTTTTATTGTTCGCTTTGATCTAGTGTTTGCTTTTAAGCTCAACGGTTTGTACACATCAAACACAACATCAGTTCTAACATACTTTGAAATATTTGTTTAAACATTAGGAATGACTTCAAGTCTTGCATAATCACTGATCGTCTTGGAAATTCTGGGCATAAGTGAATTCACAATAGCTGACATCTTTTCATAGGTACAATCAAGATAATTCGCCTTGGGACCAGCAACCATCCATTGTCTTAGAGCCAACGGATCTTCCGTGACACCAATTGCTCCAACTTCGCCTTTGATAGCAGCATTTGCGTGTTCATGGGCTTGATTTATTGCTAAGGCGGAAAATTTTCGAGATGATTCATGGACCACGAAATTACCCTTTAGAAACTCTAAAGGGTTTTTATCTGAGGATGAATGTGATCTAAACGCAGCATATCTCGGATATAGTTTGCTAACCAACGAGCATAATTGGTTTTGTTATTTGCAAAAACAAAGGTAACTTTGTTTTTATTTAACTATTCTTGCAAAGCCTTGCAAAATACTTCAAAATTGGCTTCTCTGAAAGACTGTACTGACTATAGAATGTTCAACTCCATTTCTAAAATCATTAACCGCAAATGGAATTGTGGATTTTGGTGCTTGCGCATGTCACACCAATTGTCAAAACTAAATTCCGGTTGATCGTCAGCTTGTGCTTCTGTACAAAACATGTCGTAAGACTCATGCAGCAATTTATATAAACAAATTACTGTCACCTGGTACATCTGCCGTGTTCTAGTTACGCTTGATGTTGAAAGGAATGAATCTGTTGTACGAGTAGTAGCTATTCCTGATTCAACCAAAGCTGATGTCCAAATAATATCTTGCAAAAAGGTTCCAATCGATTTCAAAGCAACATTCTCAAAATGCAGTCCACCAAAAATAAGGACAACTTTATCTTCATCATCACCATCTTCAACTCTGGCTAGTGCCATTGAACTTGTTTTACCATGGAAAAAATGGGTTGATCAGCTGCATTTACATGATCTTATTTCCTTGATTCCCTACAATGACAAATTGTTGCAACAGAGAGAGCTTGTTTTCTAAAGATAGGTGATAGCAATGAAATTATCACTTTGGATAAAGGATTTATCTTCAATAAAGCATAATGTGAAGACCATGATATATCAATTCTATTTGTATTGACTGTTTCTGTCAGACTAACCTTTTACAACCAATCATAATCCGGTTTAAGAACAAGAGGTGGAAGCAGTGCATGATTTTCGACTTGTGGGGGATTTGGATTTTTGGTACCAATAAAGGCAGGTGAAACATTGGTGTAAGAGTCTGGAAGGTTAGAAATGGTCTTAATCTTCTTATCAATTTGGCATGGTTCCTGTCATACTCCCTCATTTTCAAAAGTTGGGTATTGTTTTATAAAAACACTTGTTTTATGGAATGAAGATAATGATGATGTAGCAGTTGGATTGTGATCTATATTATCCATTGTGAGGTTGAAAACACACCTTTTCTTAAAATATTTTGACATACCGTACCTTCTGCTTTATATTTTCCAACAGTGGCATTGCCTAACTGAGGTGAAACCTCAAGCACCATATCGTATGAAATGCTTAGACCATTATCATGAAGTAATTCTACTAAATATTTCTTTCTGGTTTTCAACTAAACAGACAATCCTAAAAACAGCGGGGAGGGGTTGAATCCTCAAACAGCGTGAGTGGTATTGAATCTTCAACACAGTTGTCATTGAAGATTCCATTAAATGATGATATATGGTCCATTATTTAATGGAACCTTCAATGACAACTCCATCGCGAGGTATTTTTTCTGCTTTTGTGACAATAATGGCTTCGGTAGAGTTGACTGGCTTCAACAGAACTGTTTCAACAACTTTAAATACCAATAGGAAAACTCTCTCTTTCTTGTACGCTTCTAGTTCTGGTATTTCTGCTAAAAGTTTGTCTTTGAGTCTGGTTGAATTAACATTATAATCATCGACTCCAAGTTGTTGTAATCGCTGATGGTACTTGCTTTTGTTGAAAATGAATTAACATTATAATCGTCTGCATTTTTGGTAATACTTTGCATAATTTTTGAGGAGTGTTTTCTCTGTTGCGTCTTCTTTATCTTCTAATCTTCCATGATCAAGTAAAATTGGTAACCTTTTAATGACCTTGAGTAAAGGAACATTACTTGCAATTGTGACATGTCCGTCTCTGTCTTCTCTAGCTTCATATCTGAAAAGAGATAATTGCAACTCTTCCTTCTTTTCTGTCTAGCAAAGACAACATTTACTCTTGTCATTTGCCGACAAATTTAATTCTGACATAAAAATTAAGAAACGTTTTTGTATGAGATCAGATCAAAATGTAAATAATAACAAACCACAATATATATAAATCTTACTAATATTCCAAGGTTGAGGGTTTATCCTTTTACCACCTTAGATAGAGCACATTAATGTATGGGATACAACTGAATTAAAATTATTGTTTCACTTCAATCCTACATCTAGTCCGATTGTTCATCCAATGCTAATTAAATCCTGTTCAATCTGTGTACCGTCCGGACAACTGAAGCCCCGTTTTTCTTTGCTCAGCTCTCCCGCGCTTGCACATCCTGTCGATTTAGATGCGGTTATATCACTTTTTTACAGTATTATTACAAAATAAAAATAATAATACTATATGTGGGGATAGCTCAATAGCATTTGGGACACTGAAAAGTATTAAATTATATATTAGCTGATACTGAACGCCATGCTGGGTCTCACAGCAGTGGTGTCACCAGCGTGCCCTGGTTGTGCTGAGACAACCACTTCTTAAATGTATATACAAACTGATTATATAAAAAATAATTGTAATCATATAAAATCAGCAAAATTTAAACAAATCATAATTGAATTCAACAAATACCATGATGATTAGGTGTAAAAACCATCAAAGGAACTGAAAAGCGCCTAAAAGTCAGTATTTTTTAACAAAATGACCGCAAATTATGCAAACAAAATTGATAATAAAGAATAAGAATATTTTGTCATAGTTTAGGATTTGAAAATTAAGAGTTCTAACTTTTACCAACGCTAAAAGTAACATTTAGAGAGGCACAGTCAATCTTTGTATCTAAATTTCTAGTCATTGTCCGCCATCTTAAAAAATGGCCGCCATTTCAATTTTTTTTTGTGGCTAATGTTCTTTTTTGTCAAAGACATAATTAAACTACAGTCCTGCCAAGTTTGGTGCTTGTATCATTAACTGAAAGATTTTTTCACTAACCAGCGACACTACATTTTTGTATAATTTGCAGTCATAGAATGAATTCAGTACAATAATGATGGATTTAGATACATTAAAAAAAATTGATATGTTTAATGAACACAGTTAAACAAATAATTAAAAATAATTAAGCAAAGTTATTAGTTTGCATTTTTAGATAAATTAAATGTTTTTTTCATTTTCAAATATTTAGTTTGTATTTTT